TCTTCTCCCAAGCCTACTGGGTTGCCAGTAGCTAGTTTAAATCTCACCACCAAGATTATCTTGCTATTCTCAGCATTTAGCTTCACTACCTGCTTAAAGCACAGCTTTATTATTCAATGCCCTAGTTAGGACAGGGTGACAAGGTTAATAGGCAGAATGCCTAGCAGCTAGCCAAGCAAAAACTTAAAGAGTTGCACCCAGTAAGCTTCACACAGGGAGAAAAGGAGAAAGGGAGAAGAGATAGTAGTGGCGGTATTCTCCACAAGAAAACCATACAAAATATCTGGACATTTATTTGAGCCAATTTAACCATTTCATTACATGTTGGGCCATTTGCAGGGCAATATTCTATTTCTCCAGTATATCTTATTTTAGCTTTCTTTTGGCATCTTCTCATTCCACCACTTCATTTCCAATACAGTCTCATACTACAATAAAGCAGTTAACTACTCAAAGTCTTCCAACCTCAGCATGATGAACATAATACCACTGGTGGAATATCCCATTTTAAAAAAATGCTGTGTTCTTTCTAACAGCAGAGGTTGCTCATGTACTTATCCAAGAGCAAAAGCTGATGGGCTTTCAGGCTGATCAGAAGTGACCCAAAGCATTTATTTGCTAGTGTTCATAAATGCATAACCCACATTGATTTTTGAAGAATGTACCCAAGGGGAAATCAAGAAACAGTCCAATCATCTACAGAATTAGGTTATCTTTAAAAGGGCATAGACTTATTTATCTAGAGTGGGCCTTTGTTTTTGCTGCATGAGGATGTGGGTATAAACAAATCAGTTCCTGTTTTATTCCAAGTTAAACTCATGGGCAAAGGGTGTAAAAAATATTACAATCAGATTACAAAGCATTACACATTGTGGGTTACCAACCTCGCCCAATGAGCTGCAATCCGACAGGGATGAAGCGTTTGAAAAGTAACCAACTCCATGCAAACAATTACCTGCTCCACTGTAGCCTCTCATTAAAAATAACTTAAGTATTTTCACATTGCACAGTCTTTCCCACGATGTACTCAGTCCTTTTAGTGAATGTAGGTTTGCCCAACACTGCTTAATTCTATGCTTGGTGCTGCAAATTTCACTTTCAGAAAGTTACTTTAAGTGGGGCAACTGGTCTTGCAAAGTCTGAATGGAAAAGTATTCACAAACTCAGAGATAATCTGATAGCTTTTCTTTTTCCTTCCTCCTCAGGTCAGAGATCCTTTGATAGACCAGACAAAAGGCTTTTAGGCGAACTGGCTACAAATAAAAGCCTAGCATAACTCAGCAAAATGATAGTTGTTCCCAACAACAGATTCTGAAGCAATCTTACCATTTGTAAACTACTTTTAAAATAATCTGAAATAACCACCTGGCCTGTTTCCAAGGCTTTTCAAACCCAAAGGTTCATGCAAATGTAAGACACTTAAAACTTCCATCTTAAACTTTTTCTGCAGCCAGCGAAAGTACTTTAGCACCTTATTCCAAATCCAACAAGGTCAATACACATTATATATATGCAAATTCATCATAAATTTTTAAAAAGGGACTGTGTTTCAGGTTCTGAGGAATTTATTTTAGAAAAGCCAAAAACTCCTGGGATACAGGGAGAGATGGGGCCCACATCATAAGAAATGGCAAACTTTTAATGCTCCCCCTCATTTAATAAATAATGGCTGCTTACTTCAATGGATCAATAGAGTTCAAATACTGGAGATAAATCTATCTATGCACTGGATTGAGGTCTTTAAAACAAATGCCTTCTAAGGAATAAGAGCTAAGAATAGAGTCTCTTTAGAGACTAAGCATTTTTGTGAGATTTTATAATCAATACAGAGAATGTTCCTTGGATGAAGTGTTGGTCAAGCTTGCTAAATGTTAGCCAATTTTTTTTCCTGCTTAATTTTAGCCATGATTGCAAGTGTGGTGTTCTGGATGGATCCCTTTATTTCCTTCCTGCTGATTTGCTGTCCTGTTTCCTAGCAACTAATTCAAATCTCCAATCTCTTAAAAGGAAATTTACAGCCCTCTGTCCCCACAATCATTACTCATCCAGCTTACATCAAAATCCAGATCAGGCAATGGGAAGTTTCAACAACCAAATTTGAAACTTACTTCCTAACACCTCCCTTTAAAAACAAAAAAATAACTGTTTTGATTCACTCAAAGAAAACAAGAATGCATGGTTTATTAGGAAAAAGTGGTAGGAAAAATGCTGTGTCACACAATATTATTGCAGCAAGTGTAGTTTCTGAAAAGACCACAGGGAGAAACATCTTTTAGTAAATAGAAGATCCAATATTTTGTTAAAAACAAGCTAATAGACTTCCCTCAACATCACTCAAAGCAATAGCAATTCATATTTATGTGTCTCCCACTGTTGAAATGGGGGGGGGGGAGAAATCTAAGTAAAGCAGTGGCTTACACCAACTTTCAAAAAACTGTCCAATTTGTTACAGGCTAGGAAGTTTACCCACCCATCATCAAAAAGAAGACAATAACTGTTCTATGAGTAACAGAGTAGATACCTAACCCAGGTCTCAGGAACAACTTCCTTGGTTAACAAGTTTAGAGTTGTGCAAGTTATGCCATGGATTGCCTTTGTAGCTCAATATCCCAAAACATGCCTGTAGATGACTTGGCCATGCCTAACACTTAATGAACAAGGGGTGGCATGAGGCCTGAAGCACGCCTGCAGAAGACAGGTAACAACAAAAGTGAGAGCTGTAATAGGAAAACAAATACGCCCAGCTAGATGGATGAAAGGGAGGAAAAAGCACCACGCCTCAGGAGCACTAGAGGAAAATACAACCTCTGTCCATGCTGTAGAAACTAGCTTTAATTTGAATCAGATTTCTGATTCTAGAATGTTTTGGCAACCCTAAATCTATCTTGGTGTGTCTTTTTGCCTGCATATACTGTCCACCATAATGCTTGCTTTATCTGGCAAATTCAAAAAAAACCCAACAACTCCCCAACAGCTAGTACTTTTAGAGACAGACCTACTAAGGAACCTGGTGAGGCAAAGAGCTTACTATAAGATTAAGTCATGGCTATTTCAAAATCCTTTTTACAAAAGGCAGGTTGGTGTTTCTGAAGGAGTTGGAAAGAAAAGCCCATGGCCATGCTGTAACAGAAAGAGAAGCAGACAAGTGTGTTTTACTTTTAAATAATCTCCACCTTCTTTCCAGATCAAAGGTTCAATTTTTACAGTGATTTATATGGAAGTAAGCTCCACCGACCTCTGTTTAGACTTGGTTCCAAATATAGACAGCGATTGTGTTATAAATAAATATGTGTGGAGCTGTATTCTACCAAATTTCCTAGAACCACCAATTTAAATCCTTGCTCCCTTTTTGCAAAAGTGCAAGTCACTGTTTGGTAATGAGGCAGAAACAATTTGCTTTATGACACCTGATACAGATTTCTTAACAAGGCATCCTCAACAGACTTCTATCAATTTAAAGAGAAAAAGAAAAAAAATCTGAATTTTTAATAAAAATGTGCCAATCCCCTGACCATTGTCAAACACCACCCTTTAAAAAAATGTAGCCATTTGATGACATGGTTGGCAAAATTCAACCAGAGCCCTGAATAGAGACCATTTTGTACTTGATACCGGTAACATCTTTTTAGATACATGAATTTGGCTTCAACCCCACCCACCTACCCCCAAAAACAAAGAAAAAAGGTTGGGAGGGGGGCAAATGCTGAGGAAAAATGAGTGAGCTGAAGATTTTTACCACATAGGCAGACAGGAGGCAGTACAGCAGCATTTGGCAAATTGTGCTCCCAAGTACTAAAGAGGCGGTGGCTTGGGCATCCCTCCCACTGATTCCTCCCGCGGCCTCCAATTTAGTAATCTGAGCCAATAAGAAAACACAATCTTGTGTCTGAGACCTCATAGTTGCATCTCTTCCAAAGAACCAATGGGAGGGGGGACGGGACCCTCTTCAAGAAGAGGCAGATTCTCATCAGGGTTTCCAAGTAACCAGGAAATACTCCTTGAAACCACTCGCAACATACAACTGTTCAGCATCTTCAACAAGGATGTTAGAAGGAACCCACATGTCTGGCCAAAGTTGTTGCTTTTCTGTTTTTTTAAAAATACTGCTCAAGCTTTGGCCCTGAGCAAAGATAGCATATTCTGAAATAATAAATCAACCACCTCAACTTCAAAGCAGCTTCAACAAGAACAAGCGATATGCATAAGGTGCAGATGGATTCATCACTTATTTAAGGACTGGATTATTTACAGCCAATATTACTCTTGGGCCTGCTCCAAAAGTTAAAGTTCAAACCTTCCCCAATGTAAACCCTTATGTTTCAGAATAGATATCCCCAGTTAACACTAAAGAACCATGATTCCAGGGGAAGAGGGGGTTTTGCCTAACCAGAAGCAACGGTGGCTTATAAGGAGATATAAGGAGAGATCGGAAGATTTGCAAGGTGGGTCTTTGGGCTTTCATTCTGCTTTATAAGCATCCAAGATTCTTGGAGGTGGCATCACTGCAAACAGCTCTGATGAATACCAGGGAGAATATAGAGAAGAACCCTTTAGGGAGGACTCCCCAAGCATGCCCTTTTCTGGCAAGCTACTTTTCACCAAGGGACCGGGAGAGGCATTGCCCCTCCCTTTTTCCTGGGCACAAGAACTAATTGGGAAGAAAAATAAAATCGGTAATATGAACTTGTGACCTTTGTAATTCTCAAGGGAACTCAAGCATACTTTCAAAGAGCTTAAAGAGCAAATGCACAGAGAGTACATTATACTTCAGGTGGTACAAGCTACCTGAAGCTGCTCCCAAACTAAATCGGACCAAACAGTAGGTCTCTAGCCTAGGAAGGTTTTGTACAATGCTTGCCAAATCTTGTTCTTTGGGCTGGGCAGAAAAGAGAAAGGAAAGCCAAGAACTTCACCAAGAATACTGAAAGCAGCCAGCACTGTTGTACTCATACACACACACATAAAATGTGGCAGGATGCCTTAAAAGTGCTTTAACTCACCGGCCAGGCAAAACTGAAAGGGAGGACAATCCGGTTCCTTTCATTATTCCGGCTGTATCTTAAATTAAAGGTATTCCCACCGATGACAGGGGTAGATCCCAATCCAAAGCTGCAAGCGCCCTCAGCAGAAACGCGGGACTGATACTCCTTCAGGCAAACTTTGAAATAGGTATCACATTCATCTCTGGTGCATTTTTTATCAATTGGGTTTCGGGTCCCATCACAACAATTTCCATTTTGCAATTCGCCGTTTACATTTTGCATGGATATGATCTCAAACTCGAACTGGCCCGATGTTAGAGTAACCTGTTAAGAAAAGACCCTCCCCAGGAAAGGGAGAGGAACAGAGTTTTAGTCACACAGGTTATAAAAAGAAAACCCGAATCAGTGAAGGTTTACATCACAAATGGGAAAATTTCTATCCTTCCTCTAAACCACCAAATAAGCTATTAAAACTGTGTTTCTTCCTCCCCTCTTTCCCCCCCCCCCAAAAAAAAAAGAAAGGAAAGAAAGGAAATTCTAATAATAAGAGTTGGAAAAGGGTGTCATGCTACAGTCTCCGGATGGAACAACATTTTTTTTAAAATAACCCATCTCTTTCAATCGGTAATAATCCGCACACATGGCAAACCCACAGTTCTAATCTAGCGCATGCAACCTTACAAATTGTAAGTCGCTTTGCAATGGGCTCTGCAAAAAAAAAAAAAAGCAGAACTCCTGTAGGAAAAAGCGAAATGGAGCAATCTTTGGAAAGTTTGGTGTAATTAGATAAATCTGCTTAGAGGGCGGGGCAGTTTCTTCAGAAATTTATCTCCGGCTGTTCCAACTGGGAAGATTCGTTGCATTAAAGCGTTTTTTAAATGAAAATGCAAGGAGGGGGGGGGGGACCCTGAGGTTTGTAAAGCACGAGGTTCATCGAAGTCCTCAAGAACCTCCCTCCCCAATTCGGTTGTACGAAATTAAGGACGCTAATTATATCGCTGGAGAAAAGAGAGGAACCGAGATGCGTTTGTAAGGGTGGTTTTTTGTTGTTTTTTGTTTTTAAAAAGCAAACTCTTTTAAGCTACAGAGGGAAGAGAGAGAGATATGCAACGTACCTTGACTCGCAAGCATAATAGCGCAAGAAAAAGACTTAGGGAAAACTCCGTGAGCTGCGATCGTCTCTTTGATAAAAGCATGCCTCTTTCCTGCAGAGTCCCCTTCGCTCAGAGACGCTCCCAAGGTGCCGCTGCTGTGGCAGCCGCTGTCCGGCTCTAATATACTCCCCGAATCGAAGTACGCACGGGTGGGAAGACAACCCCACTTTTCAAAAGCTTTTCAATAGCGCCACAATCTTCAATGCAAAGCAGCCCAGCCTCCTTTTATTATTCTCCTTGGCCTCCCCTCTTCCCCCCCCCTCTCTCTTTGCTTTCTTTTTTTTCTTTTTAAATATATATATAAAACTAGCGATGGTTATTCTGGTCCCTTCCTGGCCCCCTTCTCCGCCTCTCTTTCTTTGCAGATCACTTGCCACCTCTCGATCAAGGCCACACAATAACCCGGGCGAGCCCCCCTCCCCACCCCCCGCGACACACACATAGACGACACCCAAAGACGACCACGACAACAACAAAAAAAAATTACACGCGCACAAGAAAAGAGGGGGAGGAGGGCGAGTAGGGACGCACGCACACACACACGCAAACGCACGCGCGCACACACACAGACAAAAGCAGCCGAAGGAAAAGGAGAACCGATCTCCCGTCCCGCAAACCCCACTGAAGAGAATGCCTCTTCGCGCTAGCCCATGGCCACAAGAGGAGGGGAAGGGACAGGCGGCGCATGCGTTGCCATTAATATGCATTAAGGAGGAGGGTGGAAAGGAAGCGGCAGCGCCGCCTCGGGTCCCTGGGGGAGCCTTGCCTTTTGCTTGGAAGGGTGACAAGAGGAGGAGCGATGGCCACCCGGGGAGGGGGAGGGCAAGACGGGAGGGGGGTGGGAAGATGCACGAAAGGCGAGGAAAGGCGGAGATTTGCAATAGGTGAGTAAAAGGCAAGCAGGTGGGGAAGGCGAGCTGCTCTGCATTCGCACTGGATTCGCACCCCATCCTGTAGCTTGGCGCTAAGCTGCCGCTTGCTTGCAAAAGAAAAAAATAAAATAAAAGTAATATTCATAAACCCACCAAATCTTTGCGCCGTTCAATGTTCTAAGGAAAGAAGGGCTAACAAGCACCGGGAGGGGTGAAAGGGAAAAAGGGCTTCCTTTCACCAACGCCTTTCCCTTTTTCGGTGTGTGTGTGTGTGTGCTTTGCAATAGCACTGCTACCTTCTCATTTTGGGGCTTTGGAAACGCTGCTTCATCCGAAGCCTCCCCCCCCCCCCAACCCGTGCTCGGAGTACCTGTGGGAATGAATGTTCACACACACATAACGCGCGCGCAATCTGCCCGCTCACGCATCTGGCAAAGTGCGCCCCTAGTCAAGAGAAACTTCTACGTTCTTTTTAAAAAGATTTTTTTTTGTTCTTCCTGTAAGGAAGAGAGAGAGAGAGAGAGAAGGAAAAAGGTGCCCTTTCCTAATCTTTCCGAGAAGCGGAGCCCGTTCTCACAGCAGCCTGGGAAGGCCAAATGAATGCTAGTGAGCAGGGTGGGTGGAGGGTTTTTGGGGGGGGGAGGGAGAAAAATCGTAGTTACTACGGCTTCGATCACAAAGTTCATGAGATGTGCAAAGAATAACTTAGTGCACGTGCCGGTGTAGCGGGGGGGGG